GGGAAGCCTAATTATCACATTAACACATCTGAAGAAGAAATGGAAACTAGAGAAAGGCCAGTTTCAGAGGCAAATACTGACAGCGCTCTGCTAAGCTCTGCTACTGGGGTTGGCGTGCTCACTCCAGCTGCTCAGTGCTGGTGGCAGAAACACCCACATGGAAGTGACAAAGACTCTTCCCTTGACCAAACTAAAGTCAGGCTTTTTTGAACTCCCTTTTCAACTAGGCCTCATCCTGGGGCCCTCTCGTCAGCCTGCTTAGTCCGGCTCTGGCAAGAATCCTGCTAAGTCAGTTTGGAGAGAATTTCCCACCCTTGATATCTGATCAAGTTCCTCATCCGCCACCTTTGATGTATAAGGCCTTGACCTGTCTTCAGAAAGAATCCTGTTAAGTGGGTTTAGCAAGAATCCCCTTATCCTTAATGTTGCCTCTTGGTAATTGTCCATCTCTTTCCCCCTCACTCTGCTCTTTGGCTGCAAAGCCCCAGCTGCCTTTGCTATAGTTCATTATTAAGCCTGATCTCTGCCCCCTATTGCCATAGTCTTGACCTTATTGCAATAGTCCCAAGTTAGTCTTCCTTACTGTTAGAATAAGTGTCAGAATCATTTTTTTACCTACAGGAGTGAGGGGCAGGAAGGATCCCGCACTCTTTCTTGGTTGCCTTTAAACATTAGAACCACTCAAATAATCAGCCTTTGTTTTCTTTCATGTCCATCTAACAACCTTGGATGGATTCTAGCTTCCAAGGGTGTTCTCAGGCTGAAGAGAATGCCCCTCACCATTTTATAGTTGTGTTAATTAGTACATTGGCACTGATCCTGATTTATATACTTCTGTGATTAAGTTATTCATGGAGCATATCCCAAAGATTTTGTCAATGTGTTAAAACACATTGACAAAAATCAAGTTTTTGGGGCCACAAAAGAGAGAACCAGGGGGCCGGCCCTGTGGCTGAGTGGTTAAGTTCACACGCTCTGCTTTGGCGGCCCAGGGTTTTGCCAGTTCGCATCCTGAGTGCGGACATGGCACTGTTCATGAAGCCGTGCTGAGGCGACATCCCACATGCCACAACTAGAAGGACCCATAACTAAAATATACAACTAAAATATACAACTGTGTATGGGGGGGCAGGGCTTTGGGGAGAAAAAGGAAAAATAAAATCTTTTTTAAAAACCCCAAAACAACCTTTTTTTTTTTTTTTTTTTTTAAAAAAGAGAGAACCAGAAGGTAAGATCTAGCCACAGGGAGCTACAGCACCTAAGAATCCCTGCTGCAGCTTAGATGACACAGCTACCTAATGAACATCAGCAACCAAAGTTTTTGAAAAGTCAATAGGGAGTTACAGATGAGGAAATAATCAGGGTGATATAAATTACTTTGGCTGTTGTGTTGAAAATTTAATCTTTCTTCTCTCTCATTGCCTACATCCTAAAACTCAATTATGTCTTGTGTTTCCACCTTCTAACCATCTCTCAGATCTACCCATGGCTTTATCCTGACCTGGGGATCTTACTAAAATGTTGATCCTGGTCCAGAGGTCCTGGCAGGCATGGGCACCAGAGTCTACATTTCAACTAATCTCCCAGGTGTTGCAGATGCTGCTGGTCCAAGGACCCGTCCTTTGAGCACAAGAGGCAAGGTGCCATCATCTCTAGATTGGAGTATTGTCACAAATTCCTAATTGGTCTCCCTGCCTCTCTTTCCAATCTATTTCCCACCCTGCAGCCAGGAGGGTCTTCCTAAAATGCAAATCTGAGCAAGTTCCTCCCCATTCCCTATCTTTGATTGCCCATACAGCCCTGAGATCCTGCTCTGGCCTCTTATTCCACCTCAGACTCCTGTCCATCTCAAGCTCACTGGTCCAGCCCTGATGAATTAGGCTCAATTCCTATAAACACCGTGTGCTCTCTATTTCTGAACTTTCTCACAAGTTCTTTTCTTCATCTGACAAACATCATTTTCCTTCTAATTCCCATCTTCCTCTCCCTTTCCCCTCCCACACCCTTCCAGGCTTTTGAAATCCAGTTATACACCCTTCTTCTGTGTTTCTATAACACCCTGAACCTCTCCTATCACTGTACTTATCAACCTATAGAATGACTTTTCTCAAACTTCTATCATTAGATCATGAACGTGGGGGAGAGAGGGGTACTTGTATGTTTTCATTGTATCTCCATCACATTGCTTCACATATTGCAAATGTTTAAAATGTATTTATTAAATTGAACTGGAAAAGGGAGAGCACTGAGGAAGTAGAGGCCTGGAAGGGTTTCAAATTTATATCTTATTTGATCTTCTTCATAGAGTCACAATCAAGGTTACTCAATGTTAAGGATAAAATTGATGAGGTTGTTATACTGAACCACAAGCTAAAGCCTTCTAACTACTTTAGAATAACACTAGGCTTGCAGTTCTGTTTAAATTCCATCTTACCTAAGCAATGCAGAATACATATCTTATATATAACCAAGGCAGCCCTGACCAGCTGTTCTCTATTTTTACAGAAGCGCTAGCAAACAGAAGCATAAACTGCAGTAAAATATGCAACATACGGAAAGACCGGATGGTAAGTGGGGGAGGGGTTACATGTGAAGTGGCCTTCAGAGAGACCCTTCCAGAGAGATGACTCACATGATAAGCAGTTCTTTAATCTTAGTATATGAGATCTGCAGATGGATCCGAACAATGATAATTTTTTAAATAAAAATCTCAGAACTTTAAGTTCTGACATTCCATATGCCTTATTAAAAAAAATCAAAATGGAATCTTATGAAGAATAGAACAGGTACACATTCTTAACATGAAAGTCTATGTGGTTCAAGTATAAAAATTCAGTGAGGTCTATTTATTTTCTTATATACAAAAATATAATTGATAATCTGTTGTATTTTCATATTTTTCTTTCACTATGCTTTTCTTAACTAGAGATTTTCTTTTATTTTTGAAGAAAGGAATGGCATAAGGAAAGCACGAGGATCCAGCTGGCCTTTTTGTTTTCTCCTTGTTACCAGATCCTAAATCTCTCCTCTGATCTGGCTCGGGAATTTGGTGTGAAACAGATGACTCCATTCCCATCAAGGTATTATCTGAGACGGGAAAGGTCACCCCTAGGAGCCCACCTGCCTCTCCCTGTGGATTCCTCACTGGTCAACAGTGTTCCCATTGTCTTTCTTCATTCATGGCTCACAGAATGACACCTGCCCGAGGCCAGCTGCACAAACTCGCCTTCTTACAACGAAGAGAAAGAACAAACAGGGAAAGCTGGAGTTAGGCAGTGATTCAACATATCAAAGTATCTTTTTATGTTTTGTGTGTGAGAATATTCAATATTTTCATGGGTGTGAATTTACTTTCAATACAAATATGATAAACCTACTGTTTATCGAATACCTCTTACATGCTAGAACTTCATAGACATGTTTGACTTCGTCTCTGTGATAGCTGGGAAAGTAAGATATTATACTCCCCAGCGAAACTGAGGCCCAGAGAGAATCAATCCCAGTCAGTGGCTGCTCCGAGATGCAGACGTGGATCAGCCTCATTTCTAAAGCTCTAGTCCTTTCCTCTAAGCTCTGCTGCCTTTGAGAAAGCAAAGTTCCCAAAGACAATTTCATCTGAAATTTCAACAGTGTTCTTTTTAGTTAAAAAAATACAGAGGAAAAAAAGGAATGCATGTATGCACGGAGAGTCTGGGTATCCAAAGAGCACGTGACGGGCCAATATTGGACCTCCGGACGGGGGCGTTGTTCCCTCCCCGCCTGCAGTACCTCCCGCTCTAGGCACCTGCAGGTGAACTGTGGCTGCGCGCTACCCAGGACCTGCAGGGCGCCGGGTGCGCGCGTGAAGGGTATAGCCGCGCGCGGAGAAGGCGTCGGAGGACGGCACACGGCCGGGAGATGCCACAGTCTTTAAAATACATATTTAATGTGTCCTCGTTCATTTCCACTACCACTTCCCCATTCAGCTACTCGGTAATAGCCTTGTAATTTTCTGTCTTTCAACCTGACCTCCCCCAAGCCTTTCTCCACACCCCCAGAGAATCAGATCGTGACACTCCACCGTCTGAACCTTTCGTGACTGCTCCTCGCTCCGATGATCCAGTCAAACGTACTTTACGTGCCCTTCCCGGCCCTCCACGTTCCGGCCCCTGCACCGTGCTCGGGCTTCCACCTCTGGCCACGCACCCACCTGTTCACTGTGCTCCAGCCACCCCCGCCCTCTCCTCCCTCAGCTCCTTTACACATTGTGTCTGTTCTCCTGTCCCTCGCCTTCCGCTCTCCCAAGTCCCACTCACTCCCCGAGGCTGAGCTTAGACACCACTTTTAAATTGAGGCCTTTCCTGGCTGATTCCTCCCCCGCGGTCTCCTCGCCTGCCAGATCTCCCCGAATGTGCTCCACGCGCACTGTTCACGTCACCGATTGCAATTTGTATTATATATTGCTTGATTATGTTTAATGTCTGCAAGTGCCACAGGGTTTAACACTGTGCCAGGCAGGCACACTGCTGGAACTTCATAACTTGTGAATGAATGGAGGGACTTGAACTGGATCTGGATTGTCACCATCATCGTCCGATCATCACAATATTTCGAGTCCCCCAGTGCTGCTAGCACGGGCATGCTCACCTCTGCAGGGCCGGCCAAGCCCTACAGGAGAGCAGCCTTTCTGGCGCGCCCAGCGCGCGCTCAGGCACTCCGGGGAGGATCCGGGAACAGCGCAGCTAGGGGCAGGTCTCACGGCCAGGTGTCGTCCTGGGTCCCAGGTTCACGTGCACCGCGGGAGGAGGGGGCGGAGGAAAAGGAGAGAGTGAATCAGCTAGCGCCGGGTACCTAGAACGGACCGCCGGCGGCGTCCGGGAGCGCGACTTCCTCCTTTGGGGGCCGGCGCGCGGGACAGGCGGGGCGGGGCGGGAGACGCCCCCGCCGGGCTGGGCCCCGGGCCGCCCCAATGGGATTCGGGGCCGGTCCGCGGCTGCGCCCAGTCCCCGCGCCGCGCTCGGCCGCGGAGGAGGCGGCCGGGCTCGGGCAGCGGCGGCGCGGCGCCCGCCAAGGGGAGGCCGAGCCTGCCAGGCTGGCGCCCGGCGGGGCCATGGGGGCCGGCGCCTGCGGCGGACGCCCGCTGGCGGGGGCTGCCAGCTACGGCCTCCTGGCCCTGCTGCTGGTGGTCTCCGCCCCGCTCGGGCTGCAGGCGGCGGAGCCGGGTGAGTGGAGCGCGGGCGGGCGGCGGGGCGGGCCGGGCCTGGAGGGACGGGGCGCGGGAGGAAGCCGGGGTCGCCGCCTGCACCCCGCGGAGTCCTGCTCTGTCTGGCCGGCGGCGGCTGGAGCACAAAATCCGTTACTGCCTTCGGATCGCTCCCCGACCAAACTCCTTCCTTCCCCCGCAAACGAGAGGATCAACTTGGCGCTTCCCCACTTTCTCTCTTCGCAGCCCCCGCAGCCACACTCACTTAGTTTCCAGACTTCCTGACTCCGCCGGCTCCAGAACAGTGACATGGCCCAGGGGTCGCGAGCTGACGACCCCGGGCGCCTTAGGGGAGGGGCGTGTGCGGGGGCGCGTCTCCCGATCCCCCTTTGGAAGCTGCTCCAGGGTTGCGCGGGCGGCCCCCCTGCCGCCTCTCCCTTCGCGCGGCTGGAATCCCAGCGTGTGCGTTTGCGGCTTGCGCGGAATGGCTGGGAGAGCTTTCCCCGCTTGGCCTTGCGAGCCGGCGGGCCGACCTGACCAGCGTGCTGCCTGAGCCCCAAGCTCGAATCATGTGGCTCGGCTCCTTCTTGGGTGTTAGCGAGTTGACTCCTGACCAGGCTGGTCTTTCTCTGGACCTGGCCCTTGGCTCCAAGTTGGACCTAATGAAGCCACAACCGAATTTACCTCTGCATATCTACTAGATTAAAGCAGTAAACTGTTTTACCAGCCTAGAAATCCTGGTTAATTAGGTCTTTATTGAAAGCAAGGGGCAGCTTTCTGCGGAGTTTCTTCGGTTCTTGTTTCTCTCCTTCCCTGCTTCTGCCCCTATGCAACTGAGATTATTCAGCGGCCGCAGATCTATCCAGAATATTTTGACAGCTCCCCCACATCCACCCTCGCTCCGTGTTTTCTAATGAAACAAGAATCAAAACTAACCAAATGCTGGCATTTTTTCACTGAGCTGTGTATCCATTCCTAGTCTGAAACATTGATACTCAAGATGTTGGTAGTGGTTCTTAAGTTTGCTTATGTACCAATTTGTTTAAAAAAAAACACACCAAAGTTTAGACAAAGTATGTCTTGGCAACTGTAGCAGAATGCTAGGCATATTGTAAAATTTTAATAAATACGTATGCTTTTATTAGATATGTAGGATATTGTTTTTGTCTTAAGCATTTAAAAAATGTTTCTCAAGTCCCTGTTTGAAGATGCACCTTTAGTGTTGCCAGCAATGTGGTCCTGTGCGAGTCTGGCCAAAGCTGTCCGGCATCTTTCCAAACGCGGTTTGACATGTTGTGTGGTCAGCCAGGCTGTCAGCGGGGTGCTCTCTAGAGCAGTTCTCTGGGAACCAGCGTGGTTGCTCAGATTCTGACTGAGCTTCACATTCGCAACTTTATTGCAATTGACTGTTGGAAGAAGATATCATTTGAGTTTCCACGAAACATCCTATATGTTTAGGATGTTAAAAGAACCAATAAAAGTGTAGATATTCAGTCACACAAAAAAGTAAAACTTCGATTTGGGACGTTTCCTGGAAAAAAAATATACTAGGAACTCCAGTTCTGACACCTGTTGAACGAAGAGGCATAATCAATGAATTCTGAGTGTTTCTCACATCTGTGATTTTCCCAATTAGCCATTGGTCCCTTATTCTTCAAATTTCCATAAATGTAAGCGTGCACACTTATTTTAGGTCTTGAGATATTCTACTGGCTCTGTAGTTGGATGGTGGTCCTAAGTGATATTTGTGCTCTCAATGTTTAGATGCTAAGAGGGCAGCCTTGTCACAACAGTCTGTTTTGGCTGAGAAGACACCATTTATTACATTTTACCTTCATTGTTCTTGGAGTCAGCTTCATCTGGTGCTTCTTGGCTCCCCAACCTGCCTGATCAGAACCACTCTCTCTGAAAGTTTTATGAGGCCCCAGTCTCATATAGTGAATCAGAATTTCCAGTGGGTGGGGCCTGGGAATATGCACTTTTAAAAGGTTTCCCCAGGTAATGCTGATTCAAATCAGTTTTGAAATGGTGGAAACATTTTATAATGTGAGGGTTATGATAAAGCACTACCATCTGTGTCATAGGCAATTTAATATTAGTCTTTTTCATTTGTTGCATTATGTTTCAGGAAATAAATATGATAATTAAATCTGAATATTTATAAGCCAAGTCAATTAAATTATTCAAACGTTTTATGTCTGAGTCTGGTGACCCCATGAAGCTATGCTGGTTCCTTTGTAGGGCTACTGCTTGCCTATCTGGTGTTTCTACTCAATTTATTAAAAAAAAGTCCACCCCTCCTAGTGTTCATAGCCTGCCAGGTACCAGACATTAGGCCTAAATGAGCAGAGTTTGGGCTGTTTTCTGTTCCTTCTTATGCTCTCCTCCTCTGGACCCACTTAACTAAAGTTAGATATTTACACAGATGGTTTCGCATGATTTTTGAGCTTACATAATATCACATGTAAGTTCATCATTAGTATTGATTCAATTTGTATGTATCCATAGGCTTGGACATAGTCAGGTCTCATTACCTTGATTATGTTTTGTCAAATAAAATATCCTTAATTCATGTGATGAATTTCTGCTAACTAAATAGCCCTGATTCTCTCTTCACGAAAATACTCAGAAATGGATATTAAAGATTTCCTCCTTGTGATTTAAATATTAGTGAAGAATAAAAATAAGCAGTTAATCCCTGAGGAAACTTCTAAGCAGAGAATTGGATACCCAAAAATTGCTTTTAAAACTCTGCCCAACTCTAATTTGTTACTAAGGTCTATTTTTAAGTTATCACTCCTTTATATTTGGTTAGACATGGGACAGCAGCTACCTGCTGTTTTGGGTGAGTGGCTTTTTAAAAAGTAAACACAAGTCTATTCTGGCACCTTCTGCGTCAGCATGTGCATTTGCCCAGACTTTCCATCATCTCAAAGGTCTGGGATTCGGTTAGCCCTGTAGACCACAAGTTCCCGAGGGCAGCAACTGGGCTTGTCTTTATCATCACAGCACCTGAGCAAGGTGCTCAATAAGTGTTTTTGGGGACTGAACTGAACAAACTCTTTGTGTTTAGGAGATGTTTTCAAATTAGTTCCTAGTTAGTGGAAACTGAGTAATAAAGAGTCTCCAGAAGTCCTTTACTGGTGCTTCCACTAACTCATTTTGTGTAGCAAGCCCAGCTCCCTTGGCATGCTTATTTCTATATAAAAGGATGCCTTTGAAATGAAAGTACAGTAGGAAGAAGGGAACATGCCAGCAGAACAAGGTGTACCGTATCTTTTGGCTCTAGTAGATGGAGCTTGTAACATCTGAAACACTATATAGTTCAGAAAAGGAGGAAGTTATGTTAAAGGATTCATTAAACAAATCAAAGGATGTTATTAAAGCAAGATTTGAACTCTGATTAGTGTACCAAACCATATTTATTAACTTTTCAAAAATTGAACCCTTTAACCTTGTGGTACTGAAACAGACTTGAAAATCATATTTAAAAACCACAACTTGGAAATAAGCAAGACATCTGACATTTATAAGGAATTATGTTTTTAATTAATTAATTTATTTATTTATTTATTTTGAGGAAGATTAGCCCTGAGCTAACTGCTGCCAATCCTCCTCTTTTTGCTGAGGAAGACTGGCCCTGAGTTAACATCCATGCCCATCTTCCTCTACTTTATACATGGGATGCCTACCACAGCATGGCTTTTGCCATGCAGTACCAAGTCCACACCCCGGATCCGAACTGGTGCACTCTGGGCCGCTGAGAAGCAGAACGTGCGAACTTAACTGCTGCACCACTGGGCCGGCCCCTGTTTTTATTTTTAAGATGCATTGGGAAATTAAATTAATTGCAGTGTTTAGGAAAGGGTTTAGTTATGTTAAGACAGGAAAAAAAGAAAAAAACTTTGTTGAGGGAACTATTTCCTCTAGTTTTGAACTTACTGCTCTGTGTCCCCTAAAGCATGAAGTCAACTCTTCTATATATTAGAGCAACTGGTTGTTTTGCATTTTTAAGGAAATAATACACATAAGCTATCTGGAATTGCACTTTGCACATAGTGAGAGCCAATAAATGCCAGCTATCTTAGTATTCATTACTGTTTATTACTATTAATTTGACAAATATGGGGGCCCCTTTGTTCCACCTCCCCCACTGTGTCTCGGACCTCATTCTCTACCACGCTTGCCCATACTCCCTGCCATGCTGGCTTTCTTGCTATTTCTCAAAGCTATCAGGCACTCTTCTACTTCAGAGCCTTTGCATGTGCTGTTTCCTCTGCCTGGAACAATCATGCCCCAAATAACCACATGACTTCCTCCTCCTTCAGTCTTCGTTCAGATGTTGCTTCCTCCGGGAGAATTGCCCTAACCACTTGTAACCCTCTCACCATCCCCAAAAATCCACATTCCCCTTCCTTGCTTTCAGTTTTCTCTAGAGCATTTACCATCTTCTCACTGAGTACATAATTTGCACTTTAATTTATCTGTCTTCCCCTATGAGAATGTGAGGTCTGTGAGGAGCTTTGTGCCTTGAACAGTGGCCAGCACATGATGCTGCTCAGTAGGGGATGGGTGCTCAGTGAGGATGGAGTGAGAAGCAGTGACAATAGTTCCTGCCCGCCTATAAAGACTAAGCGCCGACTCTAGTTGAGAATCAAAACCTGAACGAGACAAAGTAATGAAGCTGTATGTCTAATCCAGCTGTTGTCTGTAAATAAAAAGTCTGAAAACACGAATTTAAAATAGAAGAACACATTCTGTTATATTCAAAGTCTGGCCTTGAGGGTGAAAGGAAAAATATTGCCAGACTTTCAGACTTTTTTTCATTAGACTATGGAGTAATTTTGCCTTTTTGCAACTGAAGAGTCATGTTGATGTCATCTTCCAGATGTTCATTCTCTGTATATGAAAAATAGTTGTTTGCCTTCGGGGTGGCGGAGTGGGAGAGACTGAATGGATGAGAAAAAAACCACATGGCGATTGCTAACCCATGTGGAAATAAACTCTAACGAACTCATT